CTGTTTCGTTTTTCTTTACAGCATAAAGTCTTCTGATCGCCAAAATATCGTCTTCGCCGAGCTCAATGCCTTCTTTTAGTTGATCCCTAAAAAAAGCGTTTTTTTTTTTTTTTTTAGATTTCTTATTTTGGGATACTGCAAGTTCGTTGTCAGTAAATCGCTTTAAGATATTTGGCACTATTCAGAGTGAACAGTTCACAGTGTGTCGTTTTGTGCAGTAAAAAACAGAACACGTGTCACGGATTTTAGATTGTCAATTTCCAGCTGGTACATGGATTAGTGAAATGTTTTCTATGGCGTGGATGTGGAGAGCAAATTGATGGCATGGTTGTCGGCTAAACCAGTAGAAAATATGCCAGATATGAGTCAATTATGTTGTGATAGCCATTTTAAGTACTGATTATCAAGTAGTACTGCTAACACAAGCCTCACTCTCACCCTCTCCCATCCCACATTGTTTCCCTCACACCCTTCCGCTCAGGAATCCAGGACGGGCTTCTGAGGGGAAGGAGGAGAAGAGGAGGCAACGTGGGGTGGGAAGGGGTGAGGGTAGGGCCCTTGAGAAGGAGGGGGCTGAAAGTAGGAGAGTAGTCCCCTCCCTCATCCAGCAACTATGCAAAAATCGTTGGCAACGCGCACCGGTGGATGCGTTTTCGCAATATTTCGTGCTGTAATCCCGGAAACCCAGTAGATAGAAACGCGTGATGTACTGGTCTCTGAAGTCGGAAAGCTAATAGTCTATGCAGTGTTCGGACAGGGAACATTCCTTTTAAATTTGAGCTTTCCAAGCTTTCTGGTTCTTGAGTTAGCAATTTTACTGCCAAAAATCTTCACGAGGCAGTAGGTGAGTACGACACACATTGAATGGCTGAATTTGAATGCTGCAAGTTGTACTTTTGCTTGAGACATTCTCTGAAAACCTTGGGCCTCCCGCCTTCCTGGTTCCCGAATTAGCCATTTTCGCGCCAAAAAATTTCACAGGGCCGCAAATGAAAAAACGCATAAACGAGGCAAATTTAGGCTG